GGGGGGGGGGGGGGGGGGGGGGGGGCACTGGGACCAGATGTGTTTTGCAGATAAGGATCGCACCTGTTGTAGCCACAAAAAAACCTCACGCACCAGCTGGCATGGGGGGAATTAGCCTCCACACACGCACGCACTTGAGTTTTCAGGTGTATTCCCTAACACTCGTTTGAAACAACTACGCGGCACAAGAGAAACAGCCAATAAAGACGGAATATGATTCTAAGAGTTCGTGAAAGTGTACGCAGATGGTTACAACCCATACTGTACGATATTTCCGCAGCACTATTCTCTCTCGTCTCCTCTCTGATAAAGTCCTTATCTTCTCCCCCAGCTATCAGCAGAGAGCGAATGAACAAACGCTCCATACAACAGTCTGCCCGCTGATGAAGGGAAGACGATAACAAGGTTAGAATATTCGATTGGTCAAGCTCCGACATTTCTTTGGAAAAAAATGAAGGGGAAAGACAGCAAAAGGGGAGATAGTCTTTATTGGGAGTCTGCTTGTGGATGGTATCGGCCCAGCGCGTTCACGTGACCGTCACTTTCAAACGGCATGGCAGATGACAGGCTGTTGGCATTGTGACAGAAACAGAATTAGAAAGAAAGGAAGAAAAAACTGGAGCAACCCTACAGTGGGCTTCGGGGAAACTACTGTATGTGATTATTGTGATTTTTCTCATCTTCACATATGCGTGTGTGTATGTATGTTGCATGATGCCTGTCGGCTTTAACTCGGACGTGTGCACACATGTACCACTGTGCAAAAAAAAAAAACGTATGCCTGAGTTCATTCGCCTTTGTGTGTCCCAGTTTGGTGGGGGGGTGTGTATGCGCTTGAATAAATGATAAGCAGTCGGTTAGCGTGTCCCCTGTGTGCCGGAACCCAGAGGCGGGCTCGGCCAGCTGGCAGCTCTCCGCTCCCAGGCATCCCGCGCTCGGCCGGGGTTCTCCTCAGGCCCGCACACACCCCGAGTCCCGGAGCAGACATCTGGAGGTTATCGGTCTGACACACGGGCGAGAGCGAACACAATAAGTGTGTGTGTGCGCTCAATGGAAATTCTCTGTTCGGCATGTTTCCTTTGGTCTTTACTATTGAGTTTTCGCTTTAGTGGGAATCAGATCAGAGCGCCTTCCCTTAGCGGGAAGAATATTCTCTCATTTTTTCAAAACTGAAATAAAGAAAACCATTTCAATAAAACGGCCTTTAAAAAGACTGTTGTTTCTATCACTCGGTGGTGGAAAACTACAGCTTCCCACTACGGATATGCCGAAGTCTTAACGCGTAAGCTAGCAGACCAAACAAAAGGCCTCACCCAACCTTGTCAGTCCACCCCAGGGTCCGGTGTTCCAACCTGCTGCTGGCCTTTTGCTGTAATCTACCACCGGCAGGTGAGCTGCTTGGGTAGAGTGCAGTAAAAATGCTAATCAAATAAGCAGTAAAACCTGTTTCAGCAACCAGTCGAATCCAAACCCAGCGGTGCATAACCGATGGGCTCCAAGCATGTGGAAAAGGCAAACCACTGTGCCATGAAATCAGTGTGAGTTGGAGAGCACTCAACGAGAGGCATTACCTGTGTGAGGTGTGATAGCCTGAGTACATAAACACAGCGTAAAGGGCTTTCAGCCAAAAGCTGCTCAACACTCCTATTCCTCTGGTATTGTTCGCTGGAAAAAATTAAAAGCTAAAATTATGTAGTGCTGCACATTTAAAGTAGGCTTAAATCTGCGCCTTAAAAATAGCTGTGAGATATCAACCCAGCTGTTAAAAGCAAATGAGTCACTGGTGCTTTACAGTAAAGTTAGAGAGGTAAGCCACCGTACCGTGAACGCTTAAGCCTGAGCTAATTTGAGTAGGGAAGTGCACAATGGGTTAGACAGCAACATTATGTATAGAATGAGTGCAAACACAATGAGAAGGTAGTTTATCTGTCTTTAACAGCAACTAGAATAAAAGAGAATATTTTGAGCCTCTTAGATACTCTGCTGCTGTGGGCATTACACACATGTACGGTTAGCTGGTTAGGTGATTTTTTCAGGTCTCACTATGTTTTTTATTCTTTAAAAGCTGCGTTTGTGTTATACAGTACAATTCCTAAGTTACTGAAAATCTACTACCACAAATCCAATTTGGCAAAAGAAAAATTGTTTATAGAACCTTTGCAAAGATGCAACCCATTCCTTAAAATGCTCAGGGATGAGTGAGACATTTTTAGAAAGCCAAAAAAGTAGCTTAAATAACACTGTGCCCTCTAAAGAGCCAAAATCTGACCTCAGGCATCACACATCAACACATTGTTCACTCCCACATCCACATGGAACAGAATTGATGGGTCATAATCATAGCGACGAGCATCTTAAATCTCACTTTATCTGCATGAGAAACTCTTTTGTATGTCATTACTATCAACAACAATGGGGTAGATTTGACAGAGCCTACGCATTTATGTTTAGTAAATTCTTGTTCAAATCATAAGGACCCAAGTCAATCCTAAAATGCTATTTGATTAGTCAATATTTTGTTGCAGACTTGTGGAAAATATAAGCCAATAGCATTGCTGTAGTTAGTTAGAGCTGTAGTTTTATTTTTACTGGGCTCTGTATGCAATAGCGTTCGTGAGAAGTTATAGACGGGTAAAATGCAAACATTTTGAACTCTGTTGCTACTTCAGCCAGCTTTATTCTGCCTGAATATAAATATATGTACATTAGTATATGAGTTGATATTTGCATTTGGCTGCTCAGACTCAGGGCTTCTGCACCAGCATTCATGTGGACTCTTGTTTTTCAAACCTATTTCATTATAGAAATAACAATTTTGTAACTGTGGTTTCCTGATAACTTATCAAGTTTTTTCATTAGCTTGCTGGAGCTAATATTCTGCCTGGAGTGGAAAGCGATACGGAGGACTAGATGACACAAGCTCGGCCACAAAGTCACAGGTCGCTTTGCACCAGGTCACATTCCAACCAGACAGCCGGATATATGAACACAATCTGTGCCCCAGATCAAATCATTACATTTTAATGAACGTAAACCTTTGGATGTGAGTTGCATGGAAACAAGTTATACATTTTAGGCAGTACTTGTTTTAAACATGCTAAATATAATTTTCCATTTTTGTGCTTTGGTTTTTATAAATGTTAGTATTATTACAGATATGAACATTTCAGAAGTGTATTTTTCCTTATGTAGCAATCACTGTTTGATGTATTCAATTCTTACATTTTGGTGACATTAGAGTTCCTTATGTCTTTTCACACATAGTCCCATGCCAATTTGTTCATGCCTCTGTTTCCACAATTCATTTTCCTATGACCAAACATTGCAGTCAGGGCATTGGATCTAAGCCCCGATGCTGCAATGGCATACATCAGTTACCCGAGCAGAAAGTGACAGGAACACATGTAAACATCACTCTAAATAAAAAAAATTGCATGCAGCGAACATACAAGAGCTGATTTTCAATTTGCTGTTCATCAGACAAAACACATTAAATTTCTGCTCAATTATTGAATCTTTTTCACACTCCACCATGTGCGGAACGTAATTATTCACAGAAACTACATTACCTGGTCTTTTCAGACTCTGCTAGAGTGGAACATTAGCTCAATCAATGTCAATTATTTCTCAGTCTCCATTATTGCTTCGCCAAGTGTGGGCAGGATTTTAATCCCCACTCTAGAATCGCTTTAGTTACATGAGTTTTGAGCTTTTTGTCATGATTAGAAACATGAGTGAGCATTAAGCCTGATGGCGCTCAACATGTGGAGAAGGAAAAATGATAATCGCTTCGTCACTCAACAAAGTGAAGCCTGTGAGTGGAAGTCTATGACAGCCGTTATACTTTTTGCCCTGAGTAGTTTTACAGTCTTTGTTAGCGAACAGGCCATTTGTGGAAAATAAACTCATGGCTCTATTTGTTACAGAAAAATGAGGCACTTTTTTCTTTTTGCTTTTTACTGAATTTGATGTGTGTATGTGTGTGTGAACGTAGTGCCAGAGAGAATAAAGAAAAAGGGCTACTCTTAAATGAAAAATTATCTAAGAAACGTGTCGTAATGCTTCTGATTATTGAAGCCGTTTTCATTTTATTGAGGGGGTTCATTCACTAAGCTGCTCTTATAATCTCCACAACAAAAAAGAAAAAGCAGAAAAAACAACACATCTAATCAGGAAAGTTTTAAAAACTAAAAACTGAAGTTCCTTTTGAGGATCTTTTTTATCAAACATAATTCGGATTAGCTTTGAAAGTAATTAAAGTTAAAGACTAAAACAGATTTCTGTGACATTACTTATCAGCTCATTAGACAGAAGGAGCTTTGGGAGGCAGATGGATTCCTTTTCACAACCTGTTGATCCAGAAAAGGAAAAGGAGATGCAGCTGAATCTACCGAGTGAAATGTGAACTGTATGTGTGCTTGGCAGGTAACACGGGCCACTTTTTTTCTTCCACATCTTCTCTTAACAAGCTGCAGACTAGAGTAACAAAAAGAAAAACTGGAAAAACTATCCCACCTGACACTGGGCGAGAGGTGGGTTCTCTCGGTGTACCCCGAGAGAACCCACACATCATTAAAGCATTCATCAATCAATCAATCAATCAATCAATCATGCGAACTGCACACAAAAAGGCATCTGGTTACCCCGGTGACTCAAACCAGGAACCCTCTTGCTGTAAATTGACGGTGCTGAAGAATATTTACACTAAAATATAATTTCTTGAGATGAATGTGATACAGTGAGCTGCAGGTTTCAGAAAAATGTAACATTTTGTTATTAAATTCCAAAGGAACAACTTATTGGTGGAAGCATTAATTTGTGTCTGACGCTTTAATGCCTGTTTTGAAAAGTTCTAAGTTTCTAAGTTGCTGATAATGTAGGAAACGTTGGACCACAAAAAGAAAAAAAGAAACAAATGTGAATGGATAAAATGTGGGAGTTTCTCGCGCGTTACCTTCGTTAGGGGCAGGGAATGGAGGTGTCCGGCCAGGGCCAGCTTGACGGTGGTCTCCCAGATGCGGGGGTCGTGGAGCGCCCGCGCCGTGACCATGAACTGGACGGGCTCGGACAGGTTGGCCACGAACTGCTCGGCGTACAGCGTCCCATCGGGCCTCACGCCGAAGTTGGGGTCGCTGCTTATGAAGCCCACCTCTCTGCTGCTGCGCTGGCAGTCCTCAAACCTCACTGTACACACACACACACACACACACACACACAGACAGACAGTTAGACAGCAGCACAGCCAGATTTAGTCCACGAGGTGTTCATAAACCCCTGACACATCTGGCAGGTTTGAGATTAACCATGCATCCTTCAAGCCATATCTTGAAACATCTCATCCCCCTTCTGCTGTCACCACTGATTCCCCCTATTTGACGTCTGCGGCAAAACAAACTGCTTATCGGCTCCTGACCCGGAGTACGCAGAGAGCAGCCTGATACTTTTTTCCATATCGTTCTTAACCCCAAAAAATGGATACCGATGTCAAAACAGCATTTCCTTTAGCTCCTCCGGGGAGAGCATGAGGAGATGGTCTGAAGCACATTAAGCAGACCGGGCTGCTCATGTGGGGTCTTGAATGACATTTTGGAGAGTTCCACTTCACTGACCGGAAAGAAAGGGAGCTGTAAGGAATCTCATGTTTGCATGAACACACAAAAGCTGTTATTTCTGGTTGGAGGGCTTTGGGTAAGGGGGGGTGTTTTTTATGTTGTTCCACTTCCCATATGGGTAAAAATCCAGGACAGATCACACCGAGACACGGACAAAAACGGTGGACAAAGTATTTCCATTAAAACCTCCAAAACGAGGACAATTTCACTATGAAGCATTTTCTTTCGTGCGGTTGCAAAATTTGATCACAGAACAGTGCATCTCCTCACATGGTTCACAAAAATGGGGCAAATGACTCACGCCTGTTTTCAAAGTTGCTGCTATGTTAGCATATACTCTATACGTCCCCCCCGTCACACTCCACCCCAAAAGAAATGGGGATGCATGTGCAGTGATGCTATCTGACAAACTCTGGCTGCCGTTAACAAGACAAATTGATTTCATAAATCACCCAGGGAACAGATCATCTGTTATGAGCAATGGCAGTGCGATTTCTCAAAAAAAAAACAGCGTGAAGAATTCTGCGCAGCAAGCTTTTTATCAAGCCATCTATTTAATTTATCGCCCAGCTTCCTGTCAAAAGCAGCTCCCAAACAACAGACTAATAAAGCATGAGATCTCCTCAGCCACTGCAGCTTAGCATCTCACAAATGAGGCTGCTTGTTTCCAGGCTCTGAGTAATTGCATGCGTAATGGGGACGGATGGTAAACACACTTCTGACAATGTGTGCATCCGTCTATGCTAGCGACTGCAATCCATATTTTCTTTTTTTCTAAAAAAAAAAAGAAAAGACCAGCGGAGAGTGTGTGGGGATAATTTATCAAGGTGGGAGTTTGGAGGGGGGAAGAGTTTAACATCAAGTTGAGACAATATGTCACGAACCTGCTTGAATTGTCCTCTGATGAATTGCCGTGGCAGACATGAATTATGGAAATGACTTCAATTAGCTTGAGCTGAGCGGGCTAATTGTTGTCATTTACGCAGGCCTCTTGTGGTGCAGCTGGAAAAGTGAGGCTCAGGGACACCAGAAGTGTGCTCGTGTGTAATCTCCTGAGTGTAGATACGCACAGAGGCGAGTTCAAAGCACGGCCAAGGTGAGGAAGCTGGTGAATACATGAATGCTGATGTTAATAGTAAAGCAAAAACCCACGGCGGTCTCTGAGGATCGGCCTGAACTTGCTGCTTTGCGTGTGCTGTGGGGGTGCCAGTTGGCATGCGAACACACATGTGGACGGTGAGGCACGAGCATTACAAAAACACTATTAAAGCTACGTCTTTGATTCTTAGGAGGGCACCGGGCCAGCTCCCAGTTTACCGCTGCGCGGCCACTCGGGGCCGGGATCGTGACCCCGACTCCCGACACTTTCTCTAAGTGTAGCCATTTCCATAAATCCTTTGCAATTCTTTTTTAGAATCCTGTGAAAAAAGATAATTCAAATCAGGCAGTGGGAATCGGATCTGCCACGCTGTTAAATAGAGATGAAAGCAGCTGAAATGAGACGAGATGCTGATAGGGAAACTGTGCATGTGTGTGGCAGATACCGGGAAAGATTGTCAGAGAAAAAAGCAGGCGATGGAGGGCAGCTAGCACTGTGGCAGCCAACAAAATGGAGATGCTCAACAAAATAAAGAAAACAAAGGGCCAGTCGCAAGATCTTTCATTGCTTTCAACACTAATACTCAGAGATATGAACTATGATGATAACTAGCATAAGCAGCCTGTGATGTTTAGTGTTGTTGATCTTTGTTGTGTTTAACCAGTTTTTTTTCCTGTTCCGCTTGGCACAGCTCGAGTATCCATTTCTGCTCAAAAACTGGATTTGAGAAGAATAAATGATGCCAAAGTTTGCCCACTTCCAAGTCAAAGCCATGGGAATAGGAGTTTATCCCGTCTTCTATAGTTTGAGAATTTGCCTATTTCTCTTTTTTCTTTTCGATGATGAATTAGTATTATAGGAAAATTCATCAACCGTCTTAAATGTTACTGGCATATGTCTGATTCATCACTGGGTCTTAAAATATCTGAGCAAATTGTTATAAACTGTTTTGAGTTTTGTGTAACTGTGGAGTCCTTTTTATAGGAATTTCCCACTAAAAAATGGTGGTGAAAAATCTGACATCGTCTTTGTCAGACATGACCTAATGTATACCCTACCCTGTATGACTGTATTGCTTTATATTATTTGCTAAATACAAAAAATGCAGAGTTGAATCATTTTGTGAGTGTTGGTTTTGCTGAGCTACTGGTTATATGGTTGTGTTAACCATCACCACTCATGTGTTACAGCTCATTTCATGAGATTTGTGAAGAACATTTTGTTCAAATTGATGACATTTTAGTTTTAAGAGTTCATTGTTTCCACTTCTTCTTTTCATGTCTTGTGTCCCAAAATGGGAAAAAAAAAGGGAATGTTTGAAGCTTGAATAAGAAACAAACTTGTCAAATAATTAACATCACTTCAGTATAGAACTATCTGGGTGTGTAGATTTTTGTGGGTAGTAGGAAATATGTATATATGTTTTTTTTCTAACCTACAATATTTGGAGGAAATATAAGCCGTTAACATGACTTTTTGTAAATAACTAATTAGCAGATTTTTTGTGGTAGGACAATTGTGATGCTCTGGTGACCTGTCCAGAGTGTACCCCACCTCATACAAAATGGCAATTACAAACCTAAAGGACAATTAAATAAAAGATACATTTTTGCCCTAGCCTTTATGGCTGGAGCCCTCTCATTAGCTGTTAACTGTTTTCAAAAAATGAATAACTGTAACGCTCTCTGTTGTGGGGATACGGGCACCTCACTGAACTTTGCATAGGTTCAGAATCAGATATGGGAAAAGAATGACAAAAAGAAAACCTGACGTGTGTTTGTCACCTATGACTTTGGCTCTTTTTTTTACTATTCTGTTGCCTTGCTACATGAAAATGTGTCCATGTGCACCCGTCTGCCTCTGTGTCCTGTTAAAAGCCCTTTCTCGGAGTGCATGTGTGCTTCCCCTGAACTGTGCGATTGTGTGTGTCTTGTATATTTCAGCGCAGAGATGTTTGGCAGGCTGCTGAGGCTGGTGTCATTCTGCTCGGCTGCTCCTCCTCTCTGGACCGGGAGAACACGCTGTCCAACAGAGCGGCTGGTGAAGCAGACGCAGCTAAAACAGGGTGGGCAAGCAACCGTGACTACTGACCAAAAAGTCCTCCCAGCACACACAGAGACACAAAACACACACACAAAGAGACTCAATTACTTATGCTCTTCGTCTCCTTCTGCTTGTCTATCAGCGACAAAGCCCCAGAGGAGGCCAAAACAGAGTCTGCACGGGTACATTACATGTGCATAATGCAGATGGAGGGCCACTCGGCCAGACCAGCTTTTTGCTTGGACCATGTGGCCCTAATCCCTCCGCAACTGACCACAATGTGTTCACCTGTCCATCAGGAATGCCTCCACTCTCCCCGTCTCACTGTCTTCAGTCTGGTAGTGCCACGCCCTCTTTTTTCTAGTCCCTCATATTCTCCGTGTTCTCCGTCCTTTCATTCTTATCTAAATCCCTCCCTTTTGGATTCCCTGCAGATGTGAATGGCTTCTTTACGGTCAGCCAGTTCAGACCAACTGGCAGACCAGTGTGACCATAAATGGGCATCCATATTAAATCCCTCTGAGAGGAAGAGATGAGACAACTGTAAGGTTGTCAGTCTGAATACATACACACATTTTATATATATATATATATACATATATTCTGATTTAGTTTTCTTTTTACCTAGGTCTCATGAATCATTATGAAAATTTGACTCTATAACAACCTTTTTTATTGTCTTTAACCTTCTTTTAATCATTCAGTCTGCATGAATACACTTGTGTTCATTGATTCTAATCCTGATCTGATTTAATTCGTGTTGAGATTCTGGGCATTTTATTTCTAAAATATCAACTACTGCCCAAAATACGCATTGACAGGACAAGAAAAGGTCCAAGCGGAACATACGGTGCTCCGCGGGTTCTATATTGCAGCTGTGAAAAGTGCTAAGTAAATATTTCCTCTGGTGTGCCCCTGCTTTCTCAAGCCAAGGGGAAAATCTATGCCACCCACTCAATTTACAAATAACAGTATTTTTGCCAAGCCGAGGCTGTGATAGACAGGAGCACGGAGCCCACTGATGAGTAAATGAACGTTGCTATCACAGAACATCTTGTATGTGCGGAGCTGTGATAAACAGAAGACATTTTTTGGCACAAAGATGACTATAGCTTTGCTTTGTGTCCTCCACAGCTTTAATGAGTTTTTCCATCAGTAGGGCAAGCCCTAAAACTCCTATTTGGAATAAATGATTAATATAATAAAAGTTTGAATCTGATTAAACCTGTAAAAAGAATGAATGGGAGATTTACCTGACAGATATCTAGTGAGGCTTATTCTCTCTTTTGACTTTTGAATTTTTACATATTTCTCCCACTTGAAAAACATTAGAACCTGGAAAAATTGACATCTACTTTTACACGATTCGGAAACAGCGGTGAACTAAACGGGACTGCTGGGGTCAAATCTGATTTACACATTGTTATAAA